CCTGATGGCATTTTACTTGGTTTTGGTAAAGAAATATCATTAAATTGTGTTGTTTAATTACATGAATTAGGTATTCTTCAAAAATATTCATCTAATATATTAGGGTGAGTAAAATATTTTCATATGTTAAATTATAGTTTTTTTCTTGTTTTCGATAATATGAATAGAACACCAATTGAATCAATTAAAATTACTAAAGATCGATCATTATTTACACAAAAAATGGTTGATATTGGAGAAAAAGTTGCACCATATCAAGTTGTTAAATCTCTTGAACAGGTTCAATCAAAAAGATTTTAAATATGATTCCTAATCGTCTATTTTAGGCAGTAAAATCAGCTGAACAATTGGGTTATCCAGTTCATGTTCAGTATGTAGATATTCTTAATACTTCTATTGAATATCTGTTCTATTTAGTGCAACTTTTCCTGGAGTCTATGGGTTTTTTTATTTCAAATTGAATTTTGAATAAAAAATAACACCCCATTTTTACCAAGACAGAGGGACTAAGGGGACTAACTAAGCGGACCAAGGGTAGGAATAATGGTGTACACAGAGACGTGCATGGGTCGCGGCTCTTCGGGGGGCGCTTCGCGCCCCCACGCCGCGACGCTGAAATAAAAGGTGTGTTAGGTGGGGAAACACGCTTCCCCACTGAATAGTCCGCTTAGTCCCCTTAGTCCCTTATTTCAATTTGAAATCAAGTGCTGTTTTTTCTGTTTAAATTCAGGTTGAAATTAAATAACCCATAGTATGTTTTCCTGAGGATGATCGTGTTTCAGGTTTTATCGAGAATCGTGATGAATTAATTTCTTTACTTAATTCAATCTTACCTGATTTATCAAAATTATTAATTGATAAATCACTTAAAGATTGGAAAAAAATTGAATATGAAGTTGTTCGAGATCAATATGATAATTGTATTGTGATATGTAATATGGAAAATATTGATCCATTAGCACTACGTACTGATTATTCAATTGTTGTTGCACCAAGTCAAACATTATCAAGTGATGAATATAATTTATTACGAAGTGTATCAATTATAGTTATTCGTCATTTGGGTATTATTGGTACATGTAATGTACAATTTGCATTGAATTCATTATCTAGTGAATATTATATAATGAAAGTAAATGTAGGATTATCTCATTCATCTGAATTTACATCAAAAGCAACTGGTTATCCATTAGCATATATAACAGCTAAACTTGTACTTGGATTGAATTTAGCTGAATTATCAAATGATATTACAAATACAACATGTTCTTGTTTTGATCCAAGTCTTGATTATGTTGCAATTAAAGTTCTCAGATTGAATTTAAGCAAATCTAATCAATGTTCAAATGAAATCGAAACTTCTAGTAAGTGATCATGATTTTAATTATTAAAGATATTTATTTTATTTTAAACTAGTGGAAAGTGCTGGTGAAGTTATGGCTATTGGTAGATCATTTGAAGAAGCTTTTCAACAAGCGTTAAGAATGGTTGATAAAGATATAACTGGTTTTGATCCATATTCAAGAACAATTACAGATAATGTTAGATTATTTAAAGATTATCTAGAATTTTTATTGTATTTTGTTATAGGAATTGATCACTCCAACTGATGAACGTGTGTTTCTATTAGCAACAGCTCTTTATCAAGGTTATACAATTGAACATATATTTGAATTAACAAAAATTGATCGATGGTTCCTCAATAAATTTGAATCAATTATTCAATTTATCATTCAATGTTCTCATTCATCAACTGTTGAAGATCGAACACTTTTACTTGAAGCACAACAATTAGGTTTTTCTCATAAACAAATTGCGCAATATTCTCATATTGATGAAGATGAAGTTCGTGCATCATGTGAACATTATGATAATTGACCATTTTTTAAATAAATAGATATTTCATTTTAAATTTTCAACATCATTTTTTTTTGTGTTTTTAATTCGTGCTTTATTTTGAATCCATTTGTATGAGTGCAGAAACTAGACCCTAAGTCCCAGTTTCTAATCGCTTTCGCGTTTTTACAAGTCATTAGAGTAAATCAAGTTCGAGAAACAGTCGAGTCGATCAATAAACAGTTTGCATGAAGTAATCAATTAGTGTTGTGGCGCGAAGATCGTTGGCTTTGATCATCGATGACACAGAATAGCACTCAGACGAAGTATCGAAACTCTAGAATCTGACTCAAGAGTCAGATGGCGATGCCACTCAGCCAGCCTAGGCAAATTTTCAACATCTGTCAATTGATAGAGAAAGATAAAAATGGATGAAGATAATTGAAATATAATTTGATAATAATTGACACAAATAATAAATAAAAAGTACGTGTATGTGTAGGTGTATTATATGAATTACTGGTGTCAATTAATCTTTACAAAACATATTTTTGTGAAAGAAAAATACATTAAATACTAGATATAATAACAAGAATATATTAACAATTAAGAGAAGTTTATAGTGACACGTAGTTTTCTTTTTATTTGAGAAACTGCTGCTGTCAAATATAATATCTTTGATCCTTTTTAAGATCGAAGCCGTTTGGTTTAGCATTCATTTTTCAAATGTAATAGGCTTTTCATATCTGAAAAGAAAAAACTCCAGAGTTAATAAGAATTTCTATTTAATAATTCTTGGTCACTATGATTCGACTGCAAAAATACTATTAATATTTTCATTATTCATTTTATTAATTTAGTTAGAACAAAATCAAGGTTTTAACAGAGGAAAATAAACATAAAAATCTTTTGAATGTTGTACTCTTCTTTGAAAGAAATGTAATTTTTTCACATTGATACAATTAATCCGTGTTGTATCTCTTGTAAAGTTATCTGTGACGTTTGTTAAATGATCATAATCAATTGTTAATACAGTTAGACGAGGTAGATGTGTTTTTCTCTCATTGAGAAATTGATCGACATAATCAATATGAACATCCACCAGATCAAGTGAAATAAGATAATTCAATTTAACAATTATATGCAATTGATTACCATTAGAGTTATGTTCGTCGTCTGATATTGATGATTGTGGATTATAATTAACAACACGTAAGTCTTTAAGCAAAGGAAAAGAGAAAGCAATTCGATTGAAAAATTCATGTTTGAATGGAAAATCATCAATAACCGATAATTTTCTAACATGATTGAAAGTAATACTTGGAAATATATTACCAATATTACCGAGATATTCAAACATAAATGGTAATGAAAAGACATGACATTGGGCAACATGATATCCATAGTTTAGAATACAATCCACTTGTTGATATTTTATGTTATTATTAAGTGTTCGTTGAATATCATCTTTCGATGGATGACGAACTAAACGATCCATTTTAGAGTAAGTAGAAATATAAAAGTTAAATATATGAAGTTGTGGCATATGAACAAGAATTTCATTATAAATGTGAGTACCATCGATAAATGTAGTTCGATCCTTGACAATAATATACAAAGTTAATTCTTCAAGATTTGACATACGACGAAAAAGAGGTAGAATCTCAGTATCATAATGATCAGTTAAGTAGTAAAACGCTGTTAAAGAGAAATATTTCAAATTAGGTAGATCATCCTAGAAAATAAAAATCAATATTTCTAAATATGTTCCTATCCATTAAACAAGAAAAACGTTCAGATAAATAACTGTTCAAAAATCTGCTTAAATTCAATCCATTTTTAAATAGTTCTACTCTATGATATATAGATCTTCTTCTGCAATGATGATTAAGATAATTATATTGTATATCGGAACTTTTACCATATAAGAAATAATGAATACAGAGATTACTCGAAAAGTTTCGGTCAAATTTGTTATTATACCTATACTAGAACAATATTATTTGTACAGACAATAATTCATATCATCAGATAACACATGACTATTATCATTATATCAAATCATCAAAATTCAATTGAACTAATGTCATTTATACTAAAATCTTCAACGAAAACTCATTCGTTCAAAAGAAATGAAAGTTACATCGATGGAACGTTTTCTATAATTGTTTCTATATTTAATATTCTTTATCTATTCTCACCTATAATTCACAAACTTCTTGCTTTTAGTTTTCTTTCACTTTCCTTATTGCCTTTGACACTTATA